TTAGGAAAAATGTCTTCACCAAGAAGGTGATCAGGTTTTGGAACAGACTGCCCAGGGAAGTGTTAAAAAAACATGTAGATGAGGTCCTCAGCGATATGCTCTAGTGTTGGACTTGACAGTGCTAAGGTCTATGGTTGGACTTGATGATCTTAAAGCTCTTTTTCAACCTAGTTGATTCTATGATTCTATGACCTTCAAGATATAAAAAGAATAGGTTTGGGAATCTAGCTCCCTATATCCCCCTAGCTTTTCAGAAATAGGACTTGACCACATTTGAAAATGTTACATATATATAGAAATTGTTTTGAAATACTGACCGGGAGGGTGGGTAGGGTGGGAACGGACCATTCTAAACTAGAAGGAGGCTAAGGGGATTAAAGCTTCACTAGTCAATGTTACTAAAGTAGAAATCTGTACTGCCAGCTTTGCCTAACAGCAAAGCAACTCTGTTCTGAGCTAAGAGCAAATGTTTTTTTCCATCCTGTTTCTCAATAGAGAGAAGAGTTCTCGGAACATGCAACATGTATTTGGCATCAGGTCAAAATGTGAAAAAATGGAGATCTAACTGTAACTCTTAGCTTTGAATTGAAAATGATGAAAAATTCAGAGCTTATAGAAAAGTATCAAGACATCTGTAAGTATCTGTATGAAATAAAGAATGAAATGGCAAGATGGCTTTTTGAGCATTGCAGTCTCCTCTCTTGTCACTGGGGTGCTAATGCAACATGTACTTATGCAAGTGAAGACAAAACTGGAGTAACATGTTTCAGTTACCCATGAACTACCGCAGTTTTATGTTGCTCTAACACTCCTGCCCTAAAGAAATCAAACTAAAAATCCTGAGTACTGTACTGTGCAGTACAATATTGATATGGGTGATCAATTACAATAAGTACCACAGTAACCTTACTGACCTCTCTGCACTACACACTTGCTAAGCTACTTGTTGGTTGTACAGCTTATCCCATGTAATGCTACAAATGAAAAAAAAATATTGTATAATTATTGTACAGATTAGTGGAGCCATTTTAAATTTTATTTTTACATTGTCATGCAACAGATTTAAGTATTCTTTTTCTTATGTCTTCTTTTATAAACCACAACATTTCCTAATACATTTCAGAAAGCTGAAAAATGATCAAACATTTTTTTCTCTGAATAGTAATTTTTCACCTATCAATGCACACACATCGATTGTCTGATTAGCTTTTTGTTTGTAGCAAATACTATCACCCTCATGTATTAGGCAGCTGAAAATTTAATTTTTCTTAATTCTTAACCTTTCTTTACATCTACTTTATGTTTGTTAGCATGAATAAAAAGTGCAGTGTGAGCTCCTTAATAAGAGAACAACTAACATTTTGCAATCTGAGAATGCTTATTACAAGGCTAAAGAAATGAAGCAATTTATTCACTGGGTATTAAGATCATATGTAGAGGTGGTTTAGTTATGATGTGAATTGAATGGGCACCGTATGAGAAGCCTGTATTGCCTGTCTGCTCTGTGCTCCGCTACCAATGGTGCACTATTGCATAACTCTGATGAGCTTTTCCATGGCCACCCTCCTAGAGCTATTATGGTTCTAATGGAGTTTTATTTAATGTGGAAATGACACGTCACTTTTTATGGGTTTCACAACTGCCAAGACATTTGGCCAAATGACCGTCATGCACAGCAACAGATGTTACTCCACAGCCTTACAAAACTGGGAGTGCATTGGGTGTGAGCAGGGTGTAACAAACCTTCAACGTGCACAGCACATTTAGGACACATCGAATGAAATGCATCTCCTTGGAAAAGCAGAAACATCACGACAAGCTTTAGGAAAAGGAAGTTCAAAAATATAAACTCTATTTTTCCCTCCAGAAATATGCATATCCTTTTTCTTTGCTGATGCAGGTATCTTCCCCCTGCCCCACACTTTTTTATTTTGTGAACAGATGGGTTCCAACAAGAACATAGGCAAATCAAAGTGGACTGGGTGAGCATTTTTCCCACTTTTAACACACAAGTCTGTAGGGAGCAAACTAGCACTTGGTCCTTGCACCACCTGTGGAGTTCCCCAGTATTATCCCCACCTCCAAAGCCACATCTGCAGTCAGGGCATTAGGCTGCTCTTCCCATGGTGTCAGAGTCTTGTGCTCCCCAGGCAGCACTGGATCTTGGAACATTTCTAAAATAGTGGTGTCAGTACATTAAGTGTCTGATCCTAATTCCACTGAGGTCCATGCTGGCCTTTTGCATTCATTTAAATTAACCTCGGATCAGGACTTAATGTAGCAACATTCCTATGAGGGATCTCTAGGAGAGATCTGAAAATAATAATAAATAAAATTTAAAAAAAAAAAAAGAAAAGCTGGTTCTACTGTGATTTTTTTTCCCCACTATTAAGTCTGTGAGCAGGCTCTTCACCGAAGGCTTTTAATCTTCTGTGCACAAAATAGGTACAAAATAGCAGTATAGATCTATAAACATAGATGACTTGGTAAATTAAAATATCTGACTTCTCTTTAATTAGCAATCTAATTGAAAAATACAGTACGATATTTCCAAACTGTATCAAAACAGATTTCCCAAAGTTTATTACAAAATGGAAAGCACTATCACTTCAAAACTTGCCCCAAGACCATTGTTCTTCTCTCTCAATTCCTTCCCAAACATAGTACTGCCTACAAGTGTATGCCACAACTCATGAGAGTATAAGGGAAAACTAAAGATCCTCCCCCCACCATTTTTAGCACCACCTGCATCTTGATTAAGTTCCTTTGCTGCTCTGTTAATTCAGGCACTATCCTGGATAACTGTTTGCCCTGTTAAAAAATATTAAGAGTTATAAAAAGTACTGTATTGCGCTGCTGTTGGCTGTGGAAGTATGTTGTGCCTATATTGAAAATATGTCTGGAGTACTAAGAAGACACTCCTTGCTTTAAGTCTGAAAATGCTCCCTTTGTTGGGACAGAATATTTCAGTATAAATGTTTGTTTGGGGAAAATACCAACTATGGCATTTCATTAAGGAGTGAACAAAGTCACCAGTGTTCACCAAGAGGTTCATAAAATTTCTTCCATGGTCATAGGAAAAGGGGAGACCTAAACTTTCAGCAGAGGACTGAGATGCAAGATTGTCACTCATAAATAAAAATCATCACCACAGTGATACAGTTACTGCTATGATGCATCAGCCTAACAAGGTTGCCTGAGAAACAGCTTGACTAAAAAGCTGACACTGCTTCACCAAAATCACTGACAGTTAACTACGGCAAGTTCACAGGAGCCAGAACAGATTCTCAGTGAGATTTCCATATAAAATACCTTCCCAGTGCCACAGGTAGAAGAGACAACTGAACCTGAGCTAGCTGGTGCATGAAATGCTTTTCTGATTTTTGTTTCTAAAGAATAAAGACAAGACCTTCTTAGTAGGACTCCTCCATAGCGGAGGACCTTTCAGATCTAAGGGTGAAATGGTCTCCTAAAACATGCTCCTTCAACACAAAGATCCTGTATAAGAATTATAAGCTTTCAGCAATGAATTTTCCCAAATCTCTGAATTTGGAACAAAACTGTCACAGAACATCTTGCAGCTAAGTTGTTATGGTTTTCTTCTAAGAGGTAAACTCCACAGCCAGGAGGGTGTGAGCTAGCTGGATGTTCTAGCTGCACACTGCAGATGAGAAGTGGGCGCCATCCTGCTGCCCAAACACATCACCCTGCCAGTGTTTTCTGGAAGCATGAACCTGGCGTAGTCACTTAATATCTTATTTTATGACTGAGAGGCTCAGATGAATAAGAATGTGTCCCTTAGACTGCAGTTAGGTGCCTAAATACCTTCATTGAGGTTAAGACTTGCTACTATCACCCTTTACTACTTTGTTTGGCGTAGGAGAGACGCTTTATTATTTGACATGGTGACTTTTACGAATCTCATTTTCAGATGCTTAATTGCTCCCGACCTTGTAATATTCATCCTGACATAAGGCAGCATTGTAGAATTGAGCTTGCAAGCTCCCTCATACACCTCATCTAAGTACTTGCAACCTTATTAAAAATAATAGGTTATTAAAGCCAACGTTGCAAATATAGCTGGCAACTTGTAAAACAGATTGTTGCATGTGAAACTCAAAAACTTACCTGAGAAATGGAAGTCCACAGACAATTTTTTTTGAAACACCAAATAGAAAAATGTAATAAAAAGCTATTTTTAGAATACATTACAGAATACTGGCATGTTATAAAAATGTAATTAACCCACTGAAATTTAAACTTGTAAGTTACATTCAAGGCACCTTATTTACAAATAGTTTTTTTAATGTTCATTCTACATTCACAGTAGTTTAACCATGTAAACAGGCCTGTGAAAGGTCAGATTAAGGTCACTTTCAGATCTATGTGCCAAATACTTCAGAAAAATATCATATTACATTGCAAAATTCAGTAAAGTAAGACAGATCCATCTGCTGCCCACACAATTTGATAGATGCTATGGGGTAAACTTTTAACACGATGAAGCCTAAAGAAGGTTTTAAAAAATTAAAGATAAGTAACATGCAATGCATTAACATTTGATTATCATTTGGAAGTCTACATAAATGCTGAAAAAATGCAAGCCACTATTCCTAGTGCTAGTCTAACTTTAAAGGGCAAATCTTTGGAAACAGTGTTACTTGAAGTTTAAAAATATCCTCCATCTTTTTTCCCCCACACTTGATCTTACAATATGCTAGTACATACTTTCTCCACAAGGAAAATGTATAAAATTAATCTTACAATATAAACACTATAAACAACTCCCTTGAGACATCTTCTGGACTCAGAATTCCTGTAAAGATTTAAGTATAACAATTCTAGGATAACTATGTAGAAATATGTACATTCGTTCCAATGTCCTAGGCCCAAGAAGAAACCTAAGTAAGCTCTACAAAAGTTGCCTACCAGTCTTGTCCAGTTAAGATTATATCCAGCTTTGCTACTCTTGCTGTATTTCAACATAATCAATAAAAGTTTTACTTGCTTTTGTGTAGTAAATTCCCAAACTTTTGCATAAATCCTCTCAGCTTATTTTCATTAGGCTGCAATGGATGATAAGCAGCTGAGTTGTAGCTGACCATGTGATTACTTCTGCCGTAATTATTCCCTAAGGTCTTGCTTTTGATATCTGAGAGATGTAAACTGCTGTTGGGTACATTTCCTGTAGGTTGGCTACAATTTTCCAACTTACAGAATGGCTCAAAGCGACTATAAACACGCCTTTCACTCAAACGAGATCTTAGCTCCTCTTGGCATTTTGAGCTTGCCAGCTGTGGTGTCACTGAACTTGCTCTTTGAAGAGCAGAAACAGGGGCACTTTCAGGAGTAGTATTTGTGGTGGTTTCTTTTACATCTTGATACTGAATCTGTTCTGTATTAAATCTTGGGGTAGATGGATCTCCTGCAGTTTCTATGAATTTACTTTCAAGGGGGCACAAGAGAGGACACTTTTTATTGCTTTCATCAGATGGAGGTTTTTGAGGTTTTGGTGACTTTGGAGACTTTGGAGACTTTGTTGGGCTCCCAGTAACATCTTCTTTACTTCTGTTCAAGCTACCTTGAGAATGTGATGATGTATTTCTCTTTCTCCTTGGGGAAGAATCTGTCTTATTCTCAGAAATCTTTGGTTTTTGATTCTCTTCTTCAGAAACCAAGGTATCAGAACTACTACACATTCTATAAAATGCAGGACCTTTGCTTTTTGACAAGTTTTCTTTCTTGTCTGGTGTGAGATTAAGAAGTGACCGCAATTTCTGGGATCCTTTCTTTAGAAAACTTGGGGAACTCTTACTTTCTTTCTTTGATGTGCAGTCCTTACTAGACTCCTCCTTGACAGGTTCAGTGAGAGCAGCCACAGAGATTGCCTTGCTAGCAGTTGGGCTCTTTAACTCTTCTTTGAGGTTCTTTTCCTCCTGTGGCAAGTGGTTGGTCATACTGTGCAAACTTTTAGCACTCTTCAGCATGTCTTCTGGCAGTTTTGGACTAACTGGTTGCTTAAGTCTATGCCTAGTTAATGTGCTGTAAACGTAATTGGATGCATGTTTGTTGGCACCAGGGTCTAACATGGACTTTGAATTAAACATGGGAAAACTTCTCCTTTTCAGCATATTTTCATTTTGAAGGTTCTTCAAATTTTCCACATGCTTGTCTGCACACAGTGTTGTGTACAAGTAGACAGATGAGTCACCTGCTGCATTTGAATTTACACTAGGTTTTGTATTGTCTGCAATATGAATTCTGGGGGGTGTTGGTGCATCTGATTTAGGTGGGATGTTTGTGCTAGGCTCTTCTAAAATATTATCTGTTCCATTTTCCACACTTGGAGCATGATTAGATGTCCCTTTAGGTGTTGCACTTCCCTCTGACCCAATTATAGTTGAATTTGAAGAACTTGCACAGCTGCTTACTTCCTGCTGTTCAGGTAAAGTTGGCTGAAATACCAATGATGATCGTAAGCGAGAATGAGAATACAGCGCATGAGCTTTAATGTTTTCAGGTGTGTCATAGCTATCATATCTGTCACCTAAGGCCGATCCATTAGACTCTACTGGATAATCTGACTGATCATTCAAATATGACTTAATTCTCCAGTTACGTAGGAATGATTTCGTTGTGTGTTCGAGGGTTGGCATCCTTTGTTGCAGATGGCGGATATGGTTATCTGTCCCATTAAAAGACCTCCGTACAATTGAGTTTCTTTCTGCAAGATTTACCTTTGGTCGTGAAAACTGATCAGCAAAACTTTGCTGGGGTGTATTGTAGTTATTTGCATATCCTCCTCGTAACGAAGAAACAATACTAAGGCTATCAGATGCCATTTTCCAAGTATTTGATGCATTGTTGGCTCTATTAATAGCTCTGTTGAGCAATAGGTAAGGTGTCCTTTCTGGTTTTTCCCCAGCATAACTATGTCTCTTCCAGTGCTCATTTTTTTCACTAGGTTGATACTGGATTGGATTTTGCATATTAAAACCTGGATGAAATGGCTGTTTGTTATAGGATTGATTTCTCAAGCCATATTTATCTATTTCATTTACAGCATATCTTCCACGAGTTTTCCAACAAACAGGATCTATCTTGTGAACCTTGTCTTGCCTACCAAAAAGGTTTCTTTGGCTAGAAACTGAAGCCAAGGAAGACACTGAGTGTTGGTATGTATCATTATCCCAGAGTGTCCTGCGACTGTTTACCCGCACTAATTCTGGGGCAAATGAACTAGGAACAGAAGAACGGGCATATAGTGTTCTGAACTCTTCATCGAAGGATTCAACCAGCTGTCCTGTGATAACTTGAACCATACTGAGGTTGGTTTTTTCAAATGACCACATAAAGCTGAAAGAAGAACAAATGACCATTAGAAACAGTTCTCTTGAACTAAAGTGTTACACTGGTCCTTCTTGAGAAGAAAGCTTTCACACAAACCTGGTTTTGTTCAAATAATTTCTAAATAAATAAATAAATTGTGGTCATGATTCATGTCATTTGGATTTGGAAGGTCTAATCTAATACCAGTCAAACTCAGCTGGAGACTTTCCACTGCTTTCTATGAGTGAGAATGAGTCTATACCTACTTAATTGCCCTTAAAAACGTGGATATTGTAAAAACGTATTCACAAATGTAGAACAGTGGAGTACAAATACCTAATGGAGTAAACTACCTCTACAAAAACTGAGCCATGATTGACTAGACCCACTGTGTTTACTCCTGAGGCAGAAAATGCTACTGTGATTATGTTGTGAAAAAAAAATACATTTGAAATTGAAATAATATGCAGAACTGCTTCAATAGTTCTGAATGTACTTCACTCTAAACACATTTTCTAAAAGAAGCTCCTCAGAATTGTTAAAAAGTTTACGTTTTTTACTGTGCACACCAGATTGGCCATGAACATTACTTTTAATTGCAATGATGATATTCTGATGAAGGAAATTTTTGCATTTTCTATCGTTCTTAGAAAGGCTGAACACATGCTCAAAGCTAAGTAGCTATAGCTACTTTACAGCTACAAAATGAGATAAAATAATTTAACATGTATATAAAAGATGTTTCAACAAGTCTAATATCATGGTGTCAAAACCATAAAATTTTTAGATTACGACAAAAAAACCACCCTGTTTTGCAATACTCTATTCCTGAAAAAAAGTGAAAAAAAAAATTAAAGCAATGATCTTGTTTTTATTTGCATCTGTCTTCTGGGTGTTAGAAAACAGGTTTGTTGTATTCATGTAAATAGCTTGCTGATTTAATTTTATTTGTTTTGTTAGTTTTGTATTTTTCAGGAAATAATGGTGTCCTGAGATCAAATCATGTTGTGTAAGTTTTTTTCTATTAATTTTCACAAGTAAGAATAATATATTTTGTAATATTTGAAAAACCCTTAACTTTAAATTGTATTGAGAGAGCAAGATTTCAGAAAGACTCATCCTTCTTGTTATAATCACTATATTCTTTCAGAAAGCAAACTTAATTGCTACAGAAACTGATGATTCTAGTCCCTGGGGTGCTAGGTCTTAAAGTGATGTTATTTTTCAAAATGAAATGAGAAAAACTATCACATTCTCTAACATTGTGTGTGGATGTCAAAACAGGCAGACTCTCCCTGAACTCTTTTATACTCATTCATTTATGAACTTGTCACTTACCTCACTACCATTTATATACATCAGTTGGAATTTGGGGCTGGCTGAGTCTCAGAGGAAATAAAAAGCCAGATTTTCAAAAGCTTACAGTGGCGGATATCTGTGAAAGTCAGTGGCTGTGGATCTGGCACCCAGGCACTGCACTAGCAGAAATTAATTCAGTAGGCCAGAGGAGAAAAGTGTAGCATGAAAAGAAGGAAAATATTTAAGAATGTGTGAGATAAAACTCTCTTCCAGCCAGTTCTTTCAGCCTATGCTTTGCACACATACACTGGAAATAAAATGGAAAGTAGAATAAAGAAACTTAGCCAAATACAGAGACACTATGTCAGCTTAACTTAGGCACTTCTGAATTTGACCATGATATACTACAGAGTGCCACAGAATAGGTCTATAATGTAAGTTTTGAAGATTATTATAAGGAGGAACTATTCAAAAAAGCTTATGAAATAATTTTGGCAGCCATTTCCACAGTAAATGTTAAACAAGAGTAATTCAGACAATACAAGACAAAATAGGATTTTTCCCTCTTTTTAGCAAATCTCCAGCTGTGGCAAAAGCTATATCCTTTGTTTCTTATTTGTGAAAAACTAACAAAGGATCTCAAAATTTGGCTCTGTGTTAGGCTAGTTAGCAATAAGTATCTATGATAACTTCTTAAATTGCAGAAAAGATAATAAAATTTGCCCATGGAGTTCCCTGGAAGAATATTCATAAATATTAGAAAAAACTAATTTGCAGTAGGAGAGGTACTGAGATGACAGATTTACTGTGGACACCACAGTGACTGATCTTACCTGTAAGAACCATATATGACTTTCTTACAGTCAACAAGAATAAATTTTTGTTCCATTTTTCCATGGAATTTTGCTCCTGTTTTAGAATAGTAATCTTGTCCTTTTACTGTCCGCACCCTCATGTTCTGAAAAAAAAAAACCCCCACAATTGAAATACTTTAGTTGGCATTTATAGAAAAAATAAAATTTATATTCAGCGCAAAACAACCTACAGTATATATGTCATTTGGCTGTATAATACAAAATGCTTCACAAGACATAAAAATAGCTTGGAATATAGCTGTGAATGATCACAGTATTTACTTCAGTTTCTAGCCTTGCAATACTTGTTCTAGTAATGTCAATTTATGGTAATTTACAAGTATTGCAGCGGGAGTGAAATCTGTAGTTTAGCATTGGCAGTAAGAGAACGGAATCTGTATGATTATTACATAGACTGTATATATGGAAATAGTTCAATATAAGACTTGTGAATACAGAGGAATGTTTTGCTTCATGGGACTGCTACAGTGACAGGCTGAAAATCACAGCAAGCATGTCCTCTGTAAAGGTCAAGGCAGATGGATTTGTGTTGTTCATAAAGCAAAATGGATAAGATTGTGTACAGGGTAAATTCAGCAAAACCAGGAGAATTTTTTAAGGAAGGGAATAGGGAAGGGAAGGGAAGGGAAGGGAAGGGAAGGGAAGGGAAGGGAAGGGAAGGGAAGGGAAGGGAAGGGAAAAGGACAAGTCTATTTCAGTTGGAAGGGACCTACAACAATCATCTAGTCCAACTACCTGACCACTTCAGGGCTGACCAAAAGTTAAAGTATGTTATTAAGGGCATTGTCCAATTGCTTTTTAAACACTGACAGGCTTGGGGCATCGACCACCTCTCTAGGCAGGCTGTTCCAGCACTTGACCATGCTGTCAGTGAAGAAATGTTTCCTAATGTTCAGTCTAAACCTCCCCTGGCATGGCTTTGAACCACTCCCACATGTCCTACCACTGGATACCAAGGAGGATTGCTCAGCACCTCCCTTTCCACTTCCCCTTCTCAGGAAGCTGTGGAGATGTTTAAACTTACAAAAGTATTTAAGATTCCAGTCTATAAACTATGAATAAGTTTGCAATACAGTTACATAAACCTTTAACATCTATGGGAGCACTTACACACTTAACAAAAAAATACTAAGTTCTAATAGATAGAGGTTGTGGAAATTTTAATGATAGTGTCTACTAAGATCCAATGAACTTTCCAAACAGAAAGATTCAAAAAAATAGGAGAAAATCTCTATTTCCAAGTAACTCATGCTTTCTAGATCAGTATATATGTTTACTGTTGGTTTCTTAAAACTTTTATGAAAAGAAAAATCAAATCAAAGAAGCAAGAGTTGTTACACTCAAAAGCTGCTGACTTGGTAAATTATGGTTTAACTGAAGCTATTCAAGTTCTTTAAATTTTATCTATTAGCTGAGTTTTTACATAGCATTTTTGTCAAGCTGTGTTCAAACAAAAATGCAACTCACCTAAAAGGTACAAAGACAGTATTTAAAAATTAGTTTTGTGGACTCTTGCAAATATGCTAGAAACATAAAATTTCTTTCTTAGATAAATAAAAGAAGTCGTGTCCAGAAGTGCTCTAAAATTTTAAAAGGTAAAAATGTTAAAAGTGAAAATACAGGTGGATGCTTATGTCTATTTTCAAAACAGCTAAAAAAGAATCAGTAACAATAAGAACCTAATCTGCATTATTGAACGGGAGGTTGACATAAGTAATTTGCATCTCTACCAGCTAAGCGCTTTTGACAATTTAGCAGTCTTTCAAGTTTTCTGCACTCCAACTAAAAGTTTTCTTATCAATGAAAGTCAATTTTCCCGCTTTTCCAGTGTGATTTTGTTGAACTTCGAACAAGCCAATCCCACTGAAGGAAAGTATTCTTTCTACAGCAGCTACTCAAGCTTTAAGTAAAAGTAAATAAATAAAAAGCTTTCGGTTGTGTGAAAAATAGTGTGAAAAAAGTAATTCCTGAAAAAGAAAAAAAGAAAATACTGGAATTTACCTATTCTAAAGTTTATCACAATAGTAAACCTTATTTACTATAAAATAAAATGTTGTGAATTAGTAATGAAATTTGTATTTACCTAATGACTGTTTTACCCAAGTTTGTATACCATATAATTATATTTGTATGTCAGATTTATATTTGACTATACCAAAATGTATTTATGTCATTATAGTTTGAAAAAGGTAACTTGAGAGGCAGCATATACATTTTCAAATAACCATAACAAGTAATACTGGCCTAAAGACATGACAGTTGAACACATCAGACCTTACTGAGATAAGGTCTGATCAGTATTGGACAGGATATCACTTAGGAATCTGGAATGCTAGAGGCACAAGCAAGGCTGATGGCTTGCAGATTACCATACTATATAAAAAAAGCTTTGCCTTAGGTACTCATAAGTTGAAATATAATTTCAAGTAGGAGTATCTAAAAAATGAATAAAATTTACATTAAGTTGCTGTTTTTTAGGAAAGTTGTAGTCACTGCTTCCTCTTGTTCTCCTTTTTCTCTTCCTTCTCTTCAGTATTATTCCTCCTGCAGCTTTTTTATCTTGCTTCTTTAATCCTGTACTCTTTCCTTGTCTTGGTAGATCATCCACTAACAGATGCGAACATGGCATCACAAAGGCACGTGCCACAGATCATGTTCACCTTTCTCACATAATACTTCCTTTTCCTCCACAGTTAATCTGGCATTCTTCACCTACTTCAAACCCTCTAATAAGGTACCAGGGATGCATACTTTGAATCATTGCCCAAAATACAGACAGTATTTGAGAATATATAGTAACGTGTTCCACTTAGAATCACAGAATGGTTTGGGCTGGAAGGGACCTTTAAAGATTATCTAGTCCCAGTCCCCTTGCAATGAGCTCTGACAACTTCCACTAGACCAGGATGCTACTACCTCCCTGGGTAACCTCTTCCAGTGCCTCACCACTGTAACAGTGAAGAATTTCTTCCTAATAGTGAATTTAAATCTACCCTCTGTCAGTTTAAAGCCATTCCCCTTTGTCCTGTCACTACATACCCCTGTAAAAAACCTCTCTCCAGCTTTCTTGTAGGCCCCCTTTAGGTATTGGAAGGCTGCTATAAGGTCTCACCAGAACCTTTTCTTCTTCAGGATAAACAATCCCAGCTCTCTCAGCCTGTCTCCATAGAAGAGATGTTCCAGCCCTCTGGACTCCAACATGAATCCTACTTGCATTGGGGGCTCATGTGGACCATCTCGTAAACCAACAGAAGCAGTTCGATTAGAAGCAGTAAATATGTACATACTGAATTGCAAGCCCCATTTGGTATGAAATGCTGTGTTTCCCTTCCTACTTTGTTTCATCCTCAGGCTATAGGACTTCCCTGCTAATGGTAGCATTAGCTAATCACTGATCACTGCATCACTGTGGGTAAAGCGGCAGTTCATTTATAAATCTTGAGAGGAAAGCCCTGGACAAACCAGAAACCAACAAACTCACACATCATTAAGGAACCAAGCTAGCCTGATGGGATAAGTAAACATAGGCAAGATGAGCCATAGGGAGTCAAATGGAAAGTCAGTGATTGCTAGGGGATGCATATGGAAGAATACTTTGATCAAGGACGTGATGCTTTAGGAGGTTTTTAAAGACAGACACAGGATCTTCTCCTTCCTCCAAGACAGGCTATAGGATACTCAGGGACATTGTTGTCTTGGTGCTGCATTCTGCAGAGCAAATCTATTTCACAGTTTGCTGCAGCACCTGTCAGTAGCATTAAAAAAAAAAAGCACTCCTCAAAAAATTTAGCTATTAGTGTTTGAAAAATCACCTGAAAAATGTCTGAATCTGTAAGGACTCTTCCTCTTTCTATGCAGAGGAATGGCTGACCAAACAAGTCAGACCAATGACAAAGTCAATCAGAAGAGAATAAAAGAGAAACACATTAATTAAGGAGGAAAAATGTAGTACTGTCAGGAAACAGATAAATGAAACTGGAGAAAGAGAAATCGGAAAGTACAGGAAAATAATTGTTTATTTTAGTTGAGTTTCACTGGTGGTGTTAAGGTGAACACTGAGTAAGAAACAACCCACAAGAACTGCTGTAGAAAAGGCTGCATATTCTCCTATACAGAATTTACTGAATATGTAGTCTATCCACTTTTTCAGTTATATCTTTCAACAAAGAGGGAAACATGCCCTCATACACAGTCAGACTACAGACGATTAAACCAGTCTGCCCATATATTTAATGTAGATTTATGAATAAAATCCTCTTTTTTTTTTCCATACAGAAGACTACTGAATTGTAAATTTGAATTAAAAAAAATGCAATTTTGGTCATCACTATATCTCATTCTTTATTGATTTAAAGGAAGAGAAAAACAGGCAGACAAGGTGTCGAATCAGAAAAGCTTTACAGAAGCTCCTTATGAGTGTATGGCATGAGGAACATCTGCCATACTCCTTCAAGATTGAACCAAATCATGCCAGAGAATAACAACACCAATGCCTCTTGCGCTACATCCTGAGGAAAAGAAATAGATCCATACATCTCTGTTCTTTTTGTTGTCACTGAACTGAAGGGAAAGACCGAAAGCCACGAGCATAAAAAGTTGAAGATGGTTCTTTGTTTTTGTGAACCTTGGGATGATGGGAAAAGGGAAAGGGAAAAATCTTCTCCCAAGTACTGACCATTCCCTTATAGTCACCTGCAGTTACTCTTCATCCTCAAGAAAGGCACAGAAGACTTACTGTAGTAGTAGTAAACTCAGATACAGGGAGCACTTGGATGAAAAGACCATTAATTTGAAGAGCTTTATTACAAGTTAACTGGAAATTCAGCACACAACAGGCATATTGTTTAGCTCTTTGGGATGTATTTTTCATATCCTGATAAAACTTGGGGTGTTCTAAGTAAACTTTGCAAAGTAAAGATGCATTTTATTTCTCCCACCAGTACTAAACAGAAACATATAAAACATAATGTCACTGAAGAGGCCAAGTCCAAACCTCTTCAATCCACACTAATCCATTCAAAATCTACTCCTGTGTATGCTAATTCTTTCAACCACAGTATTAATGCCTGTAGATCTATAA